TGAGTTTTTTTTTTTAAATTTTGAAGCAGTAAATTAAATTCGTGGTTCTCTTATGACGCCTTCCATGGATTGTTTATCGCTTACTTTTTGTACAAAAGGAAAAAAAAGAGTAAATATGTACATGTATGTAAATTAATTATTTATTTTTCTTATTGTCTATACTATCTTACATGTTTGATATACAAAAATTGTTACAGTCATAACATTTAATTTTCGTGTCATAAAAAGATATTTAGGGAACTGTGAAATAATAATTTATTTTTTATTTTCTAAAGCCTGGAACCACGCTTGACAAGTGTCGGATGAGATCTCGCACAACGCCGACATAGCTTTTCCAGTCGTGTCATATTCTGAAAGAAAGCAAATACTTTTGTTGAGAAAAAATACTAGTACATTTAATAACGAATTTGGTGTGTGACGGCTCTGTCGTCGCGCCACAAGCGAAACACATCAAAGCCTAAATCGCGCTAACAAAGTTCCGAAGTTAAAGCAGTATATATGGAATAGCTTCGAACTACCACTCGGGCAGAAGAACACCTTGCACGGCGGGAGATCTCCCCTTGTCCTTCCACCGGCTACAGGTGTGTTTGTTTACATAGAAATTTAAAAAATTAAAAATTGGTACAAAGGCGAACTTAATGTCGAAAAGGCATTCTCTGCCAGCTAACGAAATATGAAATAATTATATGAAATACATCAGAGACTGTAAAAATAATACTTTCCTCAAAAAAATGAAGTGATATACAAACTCACAGTCCATCTGAAGATAAGTGCCAACTACAGTCCATGGACACCTGCAGCCAACCTCTAACAAAGAAAACTATAGATATTCTGTCACCTCTGAGGACTGAGATGGAATGCCTCAACACTTGTAGGTATACTCTTTCTCTATACCCTCCAGACTATAAAACAGCAGTGCAAGCACTACTATTTAGCGGCAGAAAAACTTAAGAGTTAATTATAAAAGAAGAAGAAGAGTTAGGCCCAATAATAAACGTTACTCAACGACGAACTTAAGTGCGTAATCATTTGATACGCCCTCATTATGATATTAGCATCTCAATATCCTTGCTAATTAATAAACACATAAAAACAATATCCCAAAACGCTGTACTTAGGAATACTGTTCTGTGACTTGCACTCAAGTACACACACTTGAGAGTCGAGTTTCGTTTATTAATGAGTGTGGCACTCAGCTGATATCGTAGACCTAAACCGTATCTTTAGATATGTTTATTGATAAGATTATAACCTCAAGATTGTACTCAAGTGCATGTACTTAAGCTGAGTAAAGTTTATTAATACGGGCCTTAGTTAATTAAGAGAGTAATTATGGGCAGAAAAGCAGTCCTACCAAATAGCACTTATTTTAATCCCCATAACATTAAAACCGAACCAGGTACAACAGCGGATGTTCCGCTACTTGATGGCAAAATAGGTTGAAGATGAGTACGCACCCAGACGGACCTTTAGGTAGATAAAGAAGCCCTACCGTCTAGTGTAGTGTGACCACTTGAAATAGAATCAATTACTTCCATAAGACAATGGAGAATTTTCGAGATATTGCGGCATAAATTGATAAAATATTATATCATACGAAGGATACATCAACTACGCAACGCTAGAGCCAAAAAAGCCTCTCCAAATTTTTGTATTTATCTTAAAATTAATCGGTAAAGGTTTTCTATAATCTTAAAGTGTTATTTAAAATTGAATAAAACATTTAAATGTATTTTAGTACATTGTGTCCCTACCCTTGACAAGTTTATGCAGATTACCTTTATTTTTAGAACTTTCAAAGCTGAAGGCTTCGTTATTTTTTTAATCAAAGGTAAAGTAAAGTAAAGTTGCAGCCTATTTACGTCCCACTGCTGGGCACAGACCTCCTCTCATTTTTGAGAGGGTTTTACGGCAAAGAATTGTCCACCGCGCTGCACTAATGCGTGTTGACCATAATATAGCTGCAGCAGGGCTCTACCACGTAAAACATAAAAAAAATATTAACTATGGCATCGCAATATATTTATGAGAATGTAATGTATGTGCATTAAAACATAAATAGCTTTAATAAGAATAAGGATGTGCATACTTTAAACACTAGGAATAAACATAAGCTCGTAATGCCAGTTACTAGACTCCACAGAATCAGTAATTCATTTATGGGGCAATGTATACGCTTTTACAACAAAATCCTAGAACATATTCAAAGGTTGTCAATAAACAAGTTTAAAAGTTTTATTAAAGAAAAACTGTACAAAAAGGGTTATTATAATATCAAGGAATACATGAATGAAAATAACCCCTGGGAATAAGATGATCGCCACCATGCTGGTTCTATGAAAAATCTGTAAAAACGAAGTTATTGTTAAGTGAAATATGTTTGAAAAAAAAGTCTCGCTGGGTTTCTTGCTGGTTCTTCCCAGGACTGGGGTGTTTTCAGAACCAGTGGTAAATAAGAAATGACTTTCAATAAGTATTATGTAATAATCAATATTGAATAAAAAATTATTCTATTCTATTCTATTCTATTCTATTATATTAGCGTATCTAAGCTCCCTACGACTGCCAATACAACGCTATCGAGCTTATTTGGGCTTGTTACACGCTTTTCCTTTACGGCAATGCTTGCGCTTAACTGTAGGGATCCGACTAGGAGCGGCGATCTGTCAACATCATCAGTGCCCTTGTGGTAACGGCGTCAATGACCTTAGGTAAGGCTTTACGAACTTTCATGTAAGAAAAGTGCAGGTAGGTAGGTTGTCTCGCCACGGTTCTCTGAACGACGTTATCCGAAGAACTCTTGTCTCTATATTTGTTCTCTCGATTTTAAAGCCTTGTAGAATACTTAGAGACATGGCAAGAGAACCGACGGTATGACTTTACTCCCTTGAAAGAGGTAAAGCCCTGGTGTAGGATGTTACGTGCTTAGACAATTTAGCAATTTCTCATCGCAGGAGTACCTCGCTTAGTGCAATGAGATAGGTGTAATCAGAGGCGACTGAACTTAGTAAGTGGCCCAAGTATAAATATTTGACAGCTACTTATTCGTGCCTATTGCTGTAGAGGCTATCGATCCGTGAGGGCCACATGCGGTAAAGTTCTCGGAATTGTATTTCGCTCAAAGGGTGAGCGAAGCTCTTAATTTTGTAGAAATTGCTTTCTTAAACACACTATAATCACATTGATAATAAACCTTATTAGATTGGACTGTTATTCTCCCATTGGGTGCACGCAGACGTTATTTTAATATTATCTCGTAACTCTGAGCTCTTCAAATAAAATGTTATTATAAAAATAAATAATACTGACGATTAATTTAATTTTACTGCCAGTCACGTCGCAGTATATAAGCTGAGAGAAAAAAGGACTGGACATCAGACTCGTCTTGAAGCTTCAGTGTTGACGTCGAGGGCTAAAAGGAATTTCTAAGGTAAAAAGATTTTGAATTATCATTCATATACTCATCATTATCACACCTTTACCGTCACAGCCTATTAAAGTCCACTGCTGAATATAGCATAGGCTTCCTCCATGGAATGTCTCGTGGGGGTGATATTTGCCGCGCTTGGCGAGCGGGTTAGCAACCGCTGTTTTTTATTTTTAGCGTTATTAGGAAGATGCTGATGTACATCTCTTGATTTGTTTGCCTCTGTCGGCTCTTATGATATCCACGAGATGATATGGGGTAGTGGATATCCTTACGCCTTCGCTATACGGTACATCATCATGATCAGCTCATAAAATTCCACTGGAACATGGAACTCTCCGATATCAGGGAGGATTTGCTTTACACATACGCTTGATAAGCAGGTTGACGATCGCAGTACCACCAAGCATTTGGCACCTTCGACGCTGTTTCCTATCGCCGGTCTGTATCACACAAAAATCAATAATGGTACCCACTCCATAGTTTTATAAACCGGAGTTTTTTGTGTGTCACACCAAAACAACAAATAATCTTCGGTAAATTATCGCCTATGTATTTGTTGCACTATGACTCGTTTGATAAGTTATTCAGCATGAAATCTATTACCTTTAAACGAGCAATTCTTGTATTTATCTGAATCGGATTCTCGGAAACGGCTCCAACGATTTTCATGATATTTAGTATGCAGGGGGTTTCGGGGGCGATAAATCGATCTAGCTAAGATTCATTTTTAGAAAATGTCGCTATATCCGTGTT